TGTATGACTAGCTTGAGTTTAACCACCCTTTATTGACTTAACTCATGCTTCCTTAAAAATATTGAGATCTCCTGTACATTCTATTTTCAAATTTAGGAAAACAAAAGATGTTATTTTTGTTTCATAGCCTTTTAAGCAGGAGTTTGATTTTTTTTTTTTAATAATTTTTTTTAATGAGACGATAGGAATTGAATTAAATAGAAGTATCCAAAAAAAGAAGGGACACGATAAAGTTACGAACCACTGCCTTCCATACATCAAAACTAACAACAATTTTTGTATTTCTAACTAATTGATGTGATACCTTATTAGTTGTGCATAGCTGTGCTGTGGATCGTAGACAAACATGATGAATTTCTTATATCCACCAAGACATATTCCAAGAGATCAAATTCAACGAAAGTTCTTATACTTGATATTTACTATTTAATGAATTACTAATCTCTAACAACTAATAACTTTTAATGAATCAATTTGTTTCGTGCTCTGTAATTAATATTTTATATAGTCTAATGATTATTATTGGACAATTTATTCTATAATATTAATTTAAAAAAGAAGGCGCTAATTTAAAGGACCAAGTCCTAACCAAATTATTTATCCATAGTGATAGGGGAACTAGCCAACTATTTGGCACTTTTAGTGTATGTTCATTACAACTTGCTATGTCTTCTCTTTTGTCCTTCCCAAAGCAAGAATTGTCAAGTTTATAATTTGAAGTCACATATTATAAAAGAAAAATGAACAATATTACTTAAGTCGATAATTCATTAGTTTTAAAGTTAATTAAAATTCTCCACAATAGAATATACCTTTCTATTTTCTCTTCCCATTAAGCAAGCATCATCCTCTTTACTTTAACAAGTTTATAACTTGGAATAACGTGTAGAAAAAGAAAATATAACAATGTCACTACATTCGATAATCCATTAATTAGTAATATTAATATCCTATAAGATGGACGGCCCAGATGAATCTAATTAAATGCATTCGGGTGTATCTAATTCAATATCGTATAAATGAGTTTTTGATCCAATAATACTCTTTACATTGTGAAGGTTTTGTCTTCCTTCCTGACGTCAAGAGTTCAAGTCCTCTCCCTTTTCCCCTTCCAAAAAAAATTTAAAAAAAAAGAAAAAGGAAAAATGTAATTCAATATCCTAAGAGCCCTATCCACCATAAGAAGATGTTGATGCTTCCTTTCCACACTCTATTTTGTCGTGGAGTTCAACACACAACTATGCTGATATATGACTCATTGAGTAGAGAAAAATGAAGTCATAGCAAGTTTATCCCCATTGTCAGTTCGAATGATTTTAATACACCTTTGAAATTGATTTTTGACCAATGCAAATAAGGACTCAAGCAAAGGTCTTGTTTCTGACTTGTACTTCATTAGATACACCCAAGTGCATTTAGAAAAATCATCCACAATGGTTAAAAAATATGGAGAACCATTCAAAGAAGATGTCGAAAAGGAACCCCATATATCACAGTGTATCAACTCAAAAGGAACTAGTGAAGCTGTATGACTAATAGGAAATGCAAGTCTATTTTGCTTAACATAATGACAAATATTACAATGATCAGAATTAGAAGAAGTAATAGTGGGAATTTGTTTATGTAGCAGTTCTAGTCTTTGGTCAGATAAGTGTCTAAGTCTATAATGTCAAAAAATGAAAAGCTGAAGGTTTTTGAACAAAAGAAACAATGGAAGATTCTTTTGTGAGCAAAGTAAACAATGAAAAGCTGAAGGTTCATGCAGGAAGTAGTATAAACCATCATTTTCTTCACCCATCCCAATCGTCTTCCATGTTGACAGGTCATGAACAAAGCAATGACCAGCCAAGAATAAGAAACATAAAAGAGTTTTGATGAATAAGCTTGCTAGTGGAAAGTAGATCAAAGCTCAAAGATGGAACACACTACATTTTTCAGTAAAATTTTGTCTGATAATCTTACTGTCCCAACATGACTTACTGAAACTTTACTACCATTTGGTAGCTTAACTGAAATGTGCACAATGGATGTAATAGAATCAAGATAAGATGTTGAACATACTATATGATCAGTGGCATCTGTGTCGATATTATCCATGGAATCTTATTATGAATTTCAGAATTTCGGACTGAATGAAGTGAAGGTAACACTGAGTGATCAGTCAGTGAAGAAAAAGCATAAGAGGAAGCAAGTGCATTACCTGATAGATTGAGTAGAGATTCATTATCATAACTACCTATTTGGTTTACTGCAGGTTGTTCTCTAGTTTTACACTATGTCTGTAGAAGAGACAATAGTTGCTGAATCTGGTCTTAAGTTATCGATAATTGTGAATTTGCATTCATTTTGTCAACTGAACTATCTCCATAGACCGGTGTAGAAACTTGCTGTGCAGAAGAGTTTGAATTTCCCTTCACTTTGAATTTGTATCCAGGAGGATAGCCTTGTAGTTTATAATACTTGTCAATAGTATGCCCTGTTATTCCATAGTGTGAGCAAGTTGGTCTTGCCTTATTGTAACTTTGTTTACTACTGTTTTATGCAGAAGAGTTTGATTTACTAAGAAGAGCAACATAATCAAACTAGAAGAAGTAGAAGATGTGATTTGCCTTTGTCGTTCATCTTGAAGAATCAAAGAGAACACCTTGTTAATTGAAGGAAGTGGATCTTGAAGAAGAATCTGACTTCGTATATGACTAAAAGAGTCATTCAATCCTATCAAAAACTGAATTATATAATCCTGTTGTTGATATGCAACCAACTTCTTCAAAGCTCTACAAATCAATTCATCCCAAAGACCTTTAAGGCAAGTATAATATGCACTAATAGAGAGTTGTTGTTCTTGAGTTAAAGACGAAATTGATTTTTATAATTGAAAAATTCTTAGATCATTCGTTTGAGAAAATTTTTCTTCCAACTCATCCAGATCTCTTTAGCACTATTTACATAAAGCACACTTCTAGCGATTTCTTTGGACAAAGTGTTAAGAAGCCAAGAAATTACCATATTGTTGCAACGAATCCATAAATAGTAAAGTGGGTCTGCTTGATCTGAAGGCTTGGAATCTGATCCGTCAATGGAACACATCTTGTTCTTGGCACTTAAGGCCATAAACATACATCTACTCCAAGAGTTATAATTCTCGCCTGTTAATGGCTGAGATACCAACAAAGCTCTTGGACTATCTCCATGATGCAAGAAAAAGGAATGGGATGGATCTTTGATTGAGCTCAAGGATGAAGATGTCTGTGATGGTGAGGATGAAGAATGTGCAGAATTCTCCATTGACGTGTAGAAGAAGTTTTATTAAAGCTCTAATACCATGTTAAATTTGAAGAAGGAAAAAGGCAACAAAACAGAGATGAGCAGAGAGAGAAAATAAAACTGTTTTCTTATTCTCACAGTTACACTGTTTCTACAAATATCACTATTCACCGCCCGTTTAGTTGCAACCTACAAGATATTTTTTCAAGATTTTTGTCTTTAATAATCTGGACACAAACTTTATCTGTGGTAGCTTGTTATTTGGTTCAGACATGATCTCTGCATATTTATTAAAACTGTGAAAAGTGAAAACTCAGATTAAATTTACTCAAGGTATTGAATTTCAACAGATTCGGTCAGCTTCTTGGCTGCTTGTTCCTTCAGCAGCTCTACTACTAGCCATCCTCCTAGAGACCATGTGTCCTCATGCAATTGACCTCATATGGAACAGAACTTTACAGATACATTAGAAAGGCATGATGCGCAACCTATTAGATTGACGCCATCTGTAAACCCAATTGCAAAATTCTAGGCCTAATTGGATCATATGTCTCCTTTTTTCCTGTGGAGATTGAACTTTTCCAATGGCTAGGGAGGTCGAGTTTGGTACAAAAAAATTGGATTTTTACATGCGAAACGGAAAACTGATGGTACCACTAATGTGGAAGTGCCTTTGCAGTGCATTATTCTCTTGATACAACTTCATTGACTGACTACTGTTGATTCACACTACAGCATAAAATTGCGGTTGATATTGTTGAGCAATGTGATGTTATTTTGTCTGGGGTTTTGCATCAATATCAACTTTTCTTTATTATTCAGGATGATGGACCAATTTTTGTTGGGGTGTATTGAGATTCTTTGGTGAAGTCCCATTGTTTGTTCATAAATTTGGTAAAGAAGAACCTTCTTGCTTTAGCTTTGCTTGTATTTCTACTTCAATTTATAAGAAACACTCCAAGGTTGAAATCATATTCCAAGTCTCAAGTGTTACACACAATACAGTTGTAAATTTGACATACCTTATTCTCATCTATAAGCTAAGGGGCATTATTTATCTTATGTTGCCATTGTATAGTTCATATAGAAGAGGACTTTCATTTTCAACAGTCTTAACATTTTTCTCACATGTAGGGGTTGAGCTTCTCATACGCCATGGAAATTTTGCTTGGATGCAGTGGAGTGAGTTTCGGGAAACCTCTGTTTGAAGGTGGTGTGTTAACATGATTCCATTTCAGGATGATTATGCCTGTATCATCTTCATTGTCCAATGACAAGAATACCAGCATCCATATGATTGTGCAAATTCATCAGCCCGTAGATTTGTGTTGTGTTTCCATTTGTAATGTTTTCTCCCTTTGTCCTTTTCAGCAGAAAGACTTGTGCCATGTTTCAGCTCCTTCAGAACCACCTGGCAGTGCTCATTTCAATTCCTCTGCAACTGCATTTATTACTATGGGAATCGATTTATTCCTAAACTCTGCCTTTGAGGGGTTTGAAGGTTTAACTAGCACTGTAAATAGCTTTTGTAAGTTCTACTCATAGGTTCATATCAATTGGTATCCAAGTCTACCACCACGATTGAAAATGAGGATTGGATGCAGACTAGATATGAAAGGACCAACCTATAGGATCCAAAAAGCCAAATCTCTCATTACAATGACCAAGCATGTTAAATGCATTATAGCCAAATCTAACACATCAGACTAAATCACAATGAACGACGACTAGCCATGAGATAATCCAGAAAATTCCATTTATATTATCTCTCTCTTCCTTGAATTGAAATTACAATAAAATATGGCAAAAAAAGAGAGAACTTGAAATGATAATCGAATAAAAGTTATACACTGTTATTGATAATGCGGCGTCTTGCCAAGAACCTCGCGATCGGAGGCGTAAGTGCGACCGTAATTGGAACCCTCACCGGAAATAGAGCCTTATTCAATAACACCGCCAAAGCGAGGGCTCCACCACTCGAAGCAGCCAACTCAGCGGTTCGATTCTTCTTCTTCTCCATCGGAACCATAACCTCTTGATTAGGCACTGGTACTGGTTCTTCCAGAACGAACCCATCGATCGTTTCGGAGTTTGTTTGTGGCAGTGTAGGAGTTTTTGCTTCTTCTTCTTTGGGATTGGTATTAGAGACGCCTCGTACGCCTACTTTTTCGAGTATGGACTCGACGTCGACGTTGTTATTGACGGCGACATAGAGACCTGTGATTGAGGCTGCTGAGACTGAAAAGTGTACACCCAATGCCACCTTTCCGTACTTCTTCAATAGCTCCCGAAATCGACCACCGGTAAATGCCATTGATTTTTGATTATATATAACTATATATGTGTATCTGCGCGGGTGTGTGTGTATGTGCGCGAGAGAGAGTAGACTCAGTGGAGATGGAGGTTTTTCTGCTGGTATTAGGGTTTTGGACAAATTTGGCAGACTTCGCTTTGGATGAGGGGAAGTCCAAACGACGTCGTCTGTTAAGTATTAAGAAACGGGCTTTACCATGGACTGGATATCTCCTAAACAATGTCGTAGCGTTGAGTCGTGGGTTTGGGTAAAGGTGGGCCTTCTGATAGACTGAATGAATAAATTAAAAAGAAATAAGATGACCAAAAAAATAAATAAAAATTAGAAGTCGTACATAGGATCGCCACCAAAAAATTTCACACACCATCTCTAATTAGGTTGGATTTTAGGTCCAAATACGCATAACTTAAATAACACACGGACATTTTGACAAATAAAATCAAGATCTTAATAGGTATTAAAATCATCAACGTTAATAGTTGTAAAAAAAATATTTTTTTACCCTTATAAAACACATGTAATAAAAGTCAAATTTAATCTAATCTTGTATTCATCCAACCCAACCCAAATGTATATCCCTGGCTCATGCCTACATTCTTCTTAAATATCATACTAATTCGAAAATAAAACATGGAAAAAAGGAAATTTGGTCTATTTTAGCACAGAAGCATATGACCTTTGTTTTAGAGTTGGTCTTTGTTTCGCTCTCATTTTGGTCATACATTGCACAATTTTTTTTTCAACCCGTGATATTAAGGTCCAACAGTAGAGATGGTGATCATTAACCAACCACTACCATCTTCTGACCACCTTTAAAATTTGTAAACAAACATGAAAAATACTAATTTATAACTGATAAAACAGTAATATAAAACCCAAGCAGATTCATCTTACTGTAATCATGTCAATGTAGCTCAATTCATGATAGTTTTTTGAAAAACGAAAAAGAAGAGAAGTTGAAAAGAACAACAATCATCTGCAATTCCGAGCAGTCATGTGTTGGTATGAAAGTGGTGCATGTGGTGGTGAGAATTGATTTGGCGTCTATGGAGGTGGATCAGGTGGTGATGGTGATGATCCATGCCATTGCCATTTTCGGACGTTGTAGCCATCTCAGACCTGCCTCTGCTTGGGTTACGTGTTAGCTCGAGCAAGGAGTCCCTTACATGATCAGCTTGAACCAGTTCACTATCTATTTTCTGTGTATCACCAAAATGAAACAAAACATTAAATTTATGGTGGAAAATTTGGAAAATTTTCATTTTTTTTGAGTAAAATACACGTTTAATCTCACATAGTATGAATTTAGTGTTTATTTAGTTCTCAATCTTTCAATTGTGTCTATTTAGTCTCTAAGGTTTGTAATTTAAATCTATGCGATCCAATCTCAAACGTTAAAATCATTAACAGCTTTGGTCACGCGTCAATTACGTGGAATCAAATAGATATAGAATTAGAAATTTTAGAGATCAAATAGACACAAAATTAGTAATCATGTGATTGGCGCGTGACAAAAAACATTACGATTTTTTTATAAACGTTTAGGATTGGACCACGTAGATACAAATTATGAATCTTAGGGATCAAATAAACACAATTGAACAATTGGAAGTAAATAAACACTAAATACATACTTTAGAGATCAAAAACGTATTTCACCCTTTTTTTTTCAAGTATCGATATTACCTCTACTTTGAAAACATTGGAATCCAGTTTTCTGAAGCTAGTTACATTCACGTTTGTTACTTCCAAGCCTAGAGAATTCAAAGCCTCCATCAGCCTCGCAAATCCACCAGCCTTGTGTTCACAGAATACCTTCACAAAGAACTCATTTCCACCCAGTTGAGCCACTTCCACTTGCGGCTGCAATGTTGTTAATATTCCGATAAATCAAGATTGAAAGGGAAAAAGAAAAAAAAAAGTGTACTAGTGCATGAGATTTCTGCCATTGCAGGGTTTGGAGAGGTTCAGGTCACAATAAACAATTACCGTTGCACCAAGATCGAAAAAAGAAAAAAGATAAATATATGTTGTTATACCTCCATTTGCTGCACCTTGTCACCAGTATTTTCTGAGTCCGGATTTTGTTTCAAGAGCTCAGTGCCGCCATTGCCGGATACTCCCATATGAAACCCATTGCCTAGTTTTTCATGTTCAGGTCCTGGCCCAAGATTGGTACCATTTCGGAGTAGAATATCCGGCTGGCCGTTGGTCAGATTGCTGTGGTTATTGTTGGCACCCTCGTCGTCTGAATGTTCTTCTAGCTCATTTTGGAGATCTTCGACTTGCTTCTGCAATTCCTTCACAAATTCAATGGCATCTCCAAGTATAGAAGCTCTATCCAACTGCAAGAAGAATTGGGGCCATTAGCAAAAAGGGCACCATGCTGGCTGTGTGGTTACTCATTGTGGCTCTGGTGCTCCTCGTGGGGCTCGTGGGGTTCCCAAGGGTGGTAAAATGCCTCCATAGCGCTCCAGGGTTAGTGGCAAAGATGCACTGACTACTAAGAATTGATTAGAGAAATTACTAAAGGGATCCACTAGCCGACACTCACGAGTATTTTATATGGCAATTGAGTCAGACATAAGAGGTTTATTAACCTAGGAGCGCAGTCCATAGAATAATGGCCTGAGTTTGGTTGTGGTCCGTACTAAGTGTCCAACCACGACTAAGAGAATCTCCTGTTGATATAATTAAAAGTGGGTGGAATCGTCTTTTAAGCAATGATTGATTTTTCATTAATCACGAATATGACACCGGTATCAACAAAGAACATTTATATCCTTAGTCCTTCACCAAAAAGGATTTCAAGGAATATAGATATTTAGTGAATTATAGTTACAGAAATCCTGTTTTTTTTTTAATTGTGCTCAATAATATATATATATATATATTTTTTGACTAATCTGCATTTGTTTGTGCATCAATAATGACACTGTGAACTGTGTGTTGAATTTGAAATTATTTTGAACAGAATGGTTAATTACCTTAGAAATATTGGGTACCAAAGCCCGAAGAGCATAGAGTCTATCATTAAGCTTCTTCCTTCTCTTCCTCTCAGCAACAAGGTTTTTGGATTGAGGACCCTTTCCTGTCCTCCGTCGATACTTGGTGTCTTCTTCATCATCATTTGGATCACTGCAATCAGAGACTGAATCTGATCGACCTGTCTCGTTTTTCATTGAATCCTTGTCATTTCCTTGCTGCTCCATGTTACCTAAGCTCTCTACACCATGCACGTTTCCCATATTGCTCATCAGAGACTTTTGAAATGAATCCATATCTTGGTATTTATTTTCTGGAGAAGACTGAAAAGGGTTCAATGGCTTGTCAGAAGGAAACGATTCATTTGTCCCTTCCATGAACATATCGGTCTTGGATCGATTTTCTGTGAAATTATATTGGTGCAAATAGTTCATTGGAGAAGTACACAAATGGATTCTGTCAATAGAGATGTCATATGGCAGATTCAAATTATTCTCCATTGCAGTTGCTGGGGAAACTGGTGGCTGATGAAAACTGTTGTGATCCTTCTGATCATTTCCGCTAGAAAACAAGGGCGGCTTTGATTGGACTTCACTGATTGCATTTACGTTCACTGAGAAGTTTGAATCCACATTGCTTGAATTGATTATAGTTTGCTGATCCAAGAAGGTGCTGCACTGCGCTTTGATATAGTCTATGACATTTTGATCTTCAGATATCTGTTAAAGAAAACAACCAGAAGTACCATCAGCATATATACAAGGAGAATCAATTCTTTATGGTCTGTTAGTCTGTCTTACTGAAGGGTACACTATGGTCCCTACTTTGGTACTGAATGAGGAAAGGGAATAACTAACGAGAAACAGTTTACCTGTCTAGCAACGAATAGCTCAATCAGTCCAAAAGGCACCGGAATCAAAACCTTAGTCCCAACTGTTTCCTGCAAAAGTAATTAGTTAATGCAAGGAGTATACTAGAGTACTAGTAGTGGGAGCTTGGAGTATCGTGTATTCACAATGGTTCTATACTTCTACGGTACTGGAAACTTACTTCGGAAACATTTGAATCTGAGTTCATAGAGACGTTGAACCATTTGGGTTGGTCAGACATAAAGGTCTGTGCATGAAATCTGTGGTTTGTAAATTGTAATGTTATTCTCAGTTACATTCTTTGATCCCATAAAAATATTTATACTTTGAGAGAGAGAGAGGACGTGTACCCAGAATCCAGAGGCATAGAAGAAGGTAACTGCACTAGTAGATCACAAGATATGGTCCTTGGGTGCATGAACATGAAATCTCTGCAAGGAAGAACAGAAGAAACAGGAAAGAGAATCTCTTCTCCACCATTCTGCAAGTTCTCAGTTCCAGCACAACAACAGCCCATCCACTCAAAAAACCTAAAACACATCCCAAACAAGTATGAGACACTACAGGCAGAGAATCAAAAAAAGGAAGATAGATAAACATATCTTTCTCCTAACCAACCTTTGCTCTTCATTCAATCTCCAGAAAACACAGTAGTTCCAGCTTTTCATACCTACAATGGGTCTTAGCCTCTCCATGAGGTTTTGCACGAGGTTCATGTTTCCTGGAACAAAACACTGATCACTGAGAGAGAGAGAGAGAGAGAGCATAGGATTGTTGAAATTCAGAGGATTTTCTCATAAACAAACGGAATCCCAGGACTTACCGGAAAAAAAAAAAAAAAAAAGGAATCCCAGTTTTTTGTTAACAATAAAAAGTTCGTCAGCGAATCAAAAGACAATAAAGTGTTTGATAAAGCATAAGTGCTTATGAAATCAACATCTTTTTCTAGTAGATTCGCAAGCACAAAAAGGGTTCGAGGATAATACCTTCCCGAAAATGGTGCTTTCCCTTACTTGCTATTCTTCTGATGCCACAAAGTTGGAAAAACAACAGAACGATAAATCTGGAAAAAAGGTATAAAGAACATAACCGGTAATCCTACAAACTTCACTTGATAGCAATGGTAAACTGCACCGTTATCCCAGACATTATGATCACCTCATTCCAAAGACCCATCCCAGAAAATGAAAAAGAAAATGATTATATGTTGCAAACTTTGGTGTTTTTGAAAAAGAAACGTAGGAAACAGCAAAAACTGTCTCCTTG